ATCTTACATAGACAATTATAGGCCATGAAATAAGCTGCTATGACCTTTTTGCTGAATGCAGTACCAATGTTTGCTTTACACAAGAACATATGAAAAATTTACTTGGTCATAAAACTCAGGACATTTTAAAAATGAACTGCCACATAAAATTACCGTAGTGTATGAAAGCCTCAATCAGAACTAGTCTGAGCTGTACATAGTCAGCGTCAGTCTCTCCCTCTCATATGAATAGATGCAATCTCAGCAACCAGACACAATAAATACAAGATGAAGGGAATGGCAAGCATAGCAGCAACACAGAATTAATTCCAGAGGCTAGGAATCACAACATGAAAATTATTTCATTATTTTAACTCATTAATTATTTATGTAGTAGAGATACAGGAAATGGCACGAGAAATCTAATGAAAGAGCCAGCAATTGAGAAGCACTGATGAAGGGGATTAGAAAGGTACAGAAGAAAAGTTATGAAAAATGGTGGATAAGAAAATAAAGTGGTTTAGGGCAAGGTTTTGCATTCATCAGTAGGGCCACTGTAAGGCATTCCTTCTGCTTCTCCAGTGCTTGTTACTCCTGGTCTAACATTTTGGTGTGCTGCTTCCTCCTCACTAACAGTCACAGTCATTTATGAAACTGTACTATGAGTCAGCCAAGGCTGAAAAATAACCTGATCAAAAAAAAAAAAAAAAAAAAGAAAAAAAAAAGAAGAAGTTGACACAACTAAGAGGAAGACGCAGGAGTAGAAACGAGCAGCTGCAAGGGAAAAATAGGTCATGCCAACACTTCTCTCAGCAAAAGGTGCAACCATGGGATTAAAGAACAATGTCTACGTCCAGACCATATAAATACACCTCTCAACTGCATCTTCTAACTTACCACACTACGTGCAGACCTAAACATGTTTGGATCACATCAGGTGACAGTGACAAGAAGAAACACACAGCAAAAGGTGGCCTAAGCACTTTGCTAATGTTGGGGAAGAGGAAGTATACACCTTTCACTGAAGAATCAACTGATGCAGTATATTTCCAGTTGCTCATAGTGACTTTCCCCCCACTTCATCCCCCATGTCAAATCTAGGATTCCATATGTGTGATTGAGAACAATCTATTCTTCAGGTATGAGAGTTGCCAAGTCTGACACTACACTGCTTAATGCATGAAATGGAGATGCAATGAAGAAGGATCATGAACCGAGCTATCAAATAGCAGGTAGCAAGACATAGTACTGCCTGGCACGCAGTAGTACTTGGTACTTCAGGTGGAGACAATGCGTACATTTCTGAAATTCAAATGGAGTCTTCATATTTGCTCCATTCCCTCTACAAACAATTTCATTATTAGGAGACATCTTTCCTTATCATAATCAATTTCAATAATTCAAAGATAGAAAGCTAAAGCCAGATCTTTCCTTTTATTCAGATACTGCTACTAGATACCATTGATGTCATTTTTGGAGGAACTGAAGAGACTGCAGAACCAGTTACCAAGTAGAGAGATGGAAATCAGTCAAAAATAGCAGGTTAGGCCAAAGTTTTCTTACTAATTTGTGATATGTTTATGTCAATTCAGCATGGGGTGAGGAGGAGTGCAATGCAGGACAATCTAAAAGTAGCTCGCAGCTATGCTTGTGGTTTTCATTATAAAACCTTATTCATAAAAACGCGAACTAAGAATTTTCATACTAAGTAAGTACAGTTCTATAAACTTTTTTACTGATATTAACAACCCAAGTTAAAAAGCTCAGCTTTAATTTGAAAAACAGAATTTTGTAATATATGGAATGAACACCCTGAATGTATGATCCAAGGTACTAGTTAACATTCACCTGATCAAGTGAACCTAAATTCAAATCTCATCAATGTGAAATGTCCTGATAATTTCAACACTTACACATTCAAATAACCTTAACAGTAGCACTTTAAATTATTTCCTATTTAAAGATGATTATTAACTGAAACATTTGTATATACCCTTACAACAGCAGCTTTTCACCTGATTGGACTTGAACAATAAATATCACAAATAACCTTTAGATGCTGCCTTTATTATTTTTGTTGTAAAAATTTCAAAATTAATGAAAATTAAGACAATAGGGAAATAACTCAAATATAAAAGAAAACTACAAGGAAAAAGGAATAAGCCTTTCTCTACATTTACTGGGTATGGTAAAAGGTGCAATCACCACAAGGAAGACTTAATTTCAGTATTACAAATTCTTTTACGACAAGAACAGTTAAGTACTATTAAGAACAGTTGACTAGTGAGATTGCACAATTTCTATTATTTAAAGCTTTTATGACTTTCAAAAGCCTAATGGCACCATCTTTTCCTCTAAATTAGTTCTGACAAACTTCAAAAAGCCTGTTTTATTCAAAGTGATGGCAGGAAGCTACCAAATTTCCTGCTTGTGTTAGTTTTCTGCTGTTTTAGTGACCTGAATGAACAAACACCTGACAAGCATCAGAGATGGCATAGAGGAAGCAGTAATAACACGTGCCCAATGACAGGGCTTTTAACCTTCAGCAACAATGAGTTATGTCAACTCACTTCATCTCATAAGACTATATCTTAAAATATAGCTTAAGCAAACAGATTAGACAAACATCTGCCAATAATGCTGTAAATACAATTTATCCTTCCTGGGGCTGAGAGGAGTAGATCAGAATCCTTGAGGTCATTTCCAGCACCACTTTATCTAAGCTTTAAAAAAGCAACATACAGCCCATTTTGAACCCATGTAGAAAAACCTCAACAAAAATGAAATTCTACTAAATAAATTAAGATATAAATATTTGCCTGCTTAGGATTGTCCAATTAAATGGTACGTATAACATAGTGTGCATTTATCTCATGTATGTTTCCTATGCAAAATACCTTCTTGCTGGAAGGATAAGCCTAAAACATTTTATGATTCAATCATGTCACTTTTAATCTCTAAGTGGGAATGCAATTTTCAAGAAAATCTGCTAAATGCATATTAGTTGCAAAATGCTAGCTGTACATACCAGCTCCTTGGGTACACATCTCCAGTGTTACTCCTATTGCTCAAAGCTAGCTGGAGCAGAAAACTGAAAATGACAAACTGCTAAGGGTTCAGCTCTCTTTGGACTGAATGAAACTGGAACATCTTACAAGAGCCTTGTAAGGTGAAGTTAAGTTCAGGAGTTACACAGAATCACTAATCTCATTGGTGATGCTTCTTAGTTCATCATTTATACCAACCTGTGACTGCAGGTCTGGTAGACCTATTCACATCCTATTGTTTGCAGAAGACTTCAGGGAAAGGGGAAAAAATGGTAAAGCTGTACTCTAATGAAATGTCTGGTAACAGCAAAGGCTTCCCCACTTAAATATCCTAATTCCTTTTAATTAATGCATAAAATTAGTTACTTGTTGGCTTATGCAGACAAAATACTACTTGGCCAAGCACACATAGTTTCCCTTTTTACAAGTTATTCAAGCACCTCTTCTTGGACCTCACCAATACATCTGCAGAATATTGGTCAGAGAATTGAGAAGCTTGAAAGTTAAGAGAAAAAAACACTTTAAATGTCAATACCAGATCTAATTTGGTAAGCTCATATACACTTCATGCATCACCTGTTCTGGAGATCATACAGAAAGGAATACAGTTCATCACTTTGACCATTTTGCCTATTCTTTTTCAGAAAACCACAAATGCTTCAAACAAGGGAGCCTCCTCTTATCCACACAGAACAAAGCATGCCACACTAGATTGAACTTTCAAGACGACTTATACATATGGAAAAGTCACCACCACCAAGTACAGCTCAGAACAAGCTGTACAAATGGAAAAGACCCTAATCTCGTTGCTACATGGAAAATTAATTGGCCATAAAACCAAAGTTTTTGTCAATTATTACATTTATACTCAGGGCAGGAAGAATGATCAACATATGTTCATCTTCATTTGCTTGCTAATAATTATTTCCACATGCATTCAAGCTCCTGGTCATTAACACAATATTTTGTTGATTTTTCCTGTCCAAACATACATGTGCCTAATGCTCACACACACATAGAGCTCCACTGCTACCAAAAGGGGACAAAGCCAAAAGCAACTGGCAGCTCTGTACTTTCTACAAAGATGTATGTGTGGCACAGCAAGTCATTAAAAAAAAAAAAAAAAAAAAAAAAAAAAAGTAGAATAACTTAATAAGACACACTAAAAATGTACAGAACAAAAACTTACCATTACACACGCAAAGACAACATCTTTTGTAAGGACAACATACTTCACAGACCCTAAATAGACTTTTCAATCTTGACATAGGAAATCCCTCGAAGCCAAAACGGGCTGCTCCCCACGAAAACATATGCTTTCCACCATAACTCCAGATTTTCTCCAGAGACTTCCGCCAGAATATAATTTTATCACTGGGTGCTGGGAAACCATACTAACGCACATCCAGAAATTTAGGGCAATGTTCACAAGAAAAACCTGCCTTTTGTCCTAATAGTTATAATGACCTTTTTCACAGTATTTCCAACACGATCAGATGAAACAAAATACAGTACAGTTCACATTGTGACTGATGTAATATGGGCTGGGAACAATACCGTGGAAACGAAAAAGCCAAGGATCTTTGTCTCCTTCTAGACAAACTGCCAAGCCTCAATAGTTGGAGGGAGAAAAATCAGAGCATCCCAAATAAAACACTGCAGTGCATATTCACCATTTCAGTAAAGTAGCTGCAGCTTTTGGCAACCCCATAGGAAATTTGGGCCCTTCAAAGAAAGCCCAAGCTAATAAAAGAGCTAAAAAACAGTCCTAGCTTAAAACACAAGAGAAACAAATAACCCACTGTCTGGGGAAATAAACCCCACGGAGTTCACCGCTCAATTCGCAAGCGATGCTAAATAGCTAACCTCGGCAATAATTAGTCATAAAAATATTAAATGCTGCATTTTTTCGCCACGGCCGCCGGTACTCGGGGGCAGGCGGACAAGGGCGGCGGGCCCAGCGGCAGTGCCTACCTGCGAGAGCTGCCGGGGGTTGGGGCAGCCGAAGAGCGCGGAGCTGGAGCTGAAGCTGATGGCCCCTCTGCGGCTGAGGACGTGCTGCGGCACCGGCCTGTCCAGCGGCAGCACGGGCAGCTGGTAACATACTTCCATTGACGAAGCCTCCGTGCGCCGGCCCGCCGCGGGGCAGCGGCCTCGCCCGCCGNCATGCGCCCTTCCCCCTCCCCCTCGCGCCTTCGCAGGGGCGGGGGGCGGCACCGCCCTCCTTCTCTCCCTGCGCTGCTTTCAGTCACAGAATCACGGAACAGACTGGGCTGAGGAACGGCCGGGAGGTCATCGAGTCCTCAGCCGGGAGGTCATCGAGTCCAGCCTGTGAGCGAACACCACCATGTCAGCTAGACCACGGCACGAAGTGCCTCGTCCAGTCTTTCCTTAAACACTTCCAAGGACGGTGACTTCACCGCTTCCCTGATCAGCCCATTCCAGTATCGAGTCGCCCTTTCTGTGAAGAATTTTTTCCTAATGTCCAACCTGAACCACCTATGATACAGCTTAGCACTATGTCCTCTCATCCTGTGGCTGGTTGTCCGGGAGGAGAGACCGACGCTCACCCGGCTACAACTTCATTGGAGGGAGCTGCTGAGAGCTATAATGTCACCTCCGAGCCTCCTTCTCTCCCAGAGGACTAAACATCCCCAGGTCTGTCAGCTGCTCCTTCTAAGATTTCTGCTCCAGACTCTTCAGCCATTCCATTCCCCCTCTCTGGACCCAGTGCCCCAATATCCTTCCTGAATTGAGCGGCCCAAAACTGGATGCAGAATCCAAGATGCAGCAGTGCTTGGGTGAGACCCAAGGGGTCCTGGAACCCCTGGGCCAGAAAGGTGGTAAGTGGAGGTTTGACTCAGTACCCCCGTGTCATGTCATCTCTAAGGGATGAGGTTGTGTCAGGAGAGGCTTAGGTCAGATATTGGGAAAATATTCTTGACCCAAGTAATGCTTGGGCACTGGAACAGGCTCCCAGGCAAGTGATCACAGCAGCAGCCTGACAGTTCAAGAAGTGTTTTGGCAATGCTCTCTGCCGTGTGGTGGCTCTTGGGGATGGTCCTGCTGTGAAGGAACAGGAGTTGGACTATGATGCTTCTAGCTCAGGATATTGTGTATCCATCTGCCCTCAGTTCCTCATTCCCCGTCCTCACAGGCTGTGCCCTGACTCTGGGGGAGCAGCACTGAAGGGGCTGTGGTATCATCAGGGCCAGATCTGGTTTCTCTGGCTGCTCCTGAGGGAGGCTGGGTGATCAGTACAGCCTTGGCCTTGAACACCTAACCTGGGCAGCTTCCTTAAAATAAAATATGGAAAGATAGTTTTGTTCCAAAATGCATCATCCATCAAATGCAATACACTGGGGAGTTTGTATTTGCATTTGAACCCTTGTGGCTCATTTTTAGAGTGGGGAGAGGTGGGATTTTTTGCAAGACAAAGAGGTAAAACCATGTAATTTTTGTTAACATAAAAAATTAAGTTCCTGCAAACCACATAATTCCAGGAATTACACTTTAAGGGAGAAAAGGAATAATTTGTGACGTGATCTACTAGTCAATAGCTGTGTACATCACATTAGCTGGGACAGCTAAAAAGAAACTTTGTTTTTTGGGGTTTTTTTTTTCCTTAGGACTAAGCCTCCCTTTGTCTGTCTGCAACTGTTGGGTTTGTTGTTTTTTGGGTTTTTTTTCCATTCTTTCATCTCTTTTATTTCTCCATCATAAAAAAAAAAAACCCTAAATATAGCATGATAGGTAAGGGAACATTTCTGTTCTTTGAATAATATATGAAATGCCTGTACCCACTTAAAAATCAGATTTTGCAAAATGATTCATATGATTTAATTTTGCATAATACATTGTTCTTCTCAGTGTTTGCTTACTGGCAGAAAGGTTTAGATTTCACATGATAGTGGTTATTTATAGGCAGTGACACAGCTTTGGAGAAACCCATTTGGGAAAAATAGGTGGTTTGTATGGAGGATTTTCTTCTGTTTGAACTAGTTCTAGAAGCAAGTAATTTTATAGATGTGAACTGATGGCCATTTCACCTTGAGCTGTGAAGTTAACAAATGCACGTCCTTCTTTTGCAGAACTGTAGTCCCACCTTGTCTCATTGATAGCCAAAAGAACATATGGACACATGAGGAGGACCCTGGATCAACTGCTGTGTCTTAAGAGCTTTTTTCAGCTGTTTTCCCCGTTTTTTTAAAGATAAGAATCTCACAAGCATTCTCAGTATGATTTTATAATGCATGCATGCAGTAATTCAAGATACAATAAGCACATGGTAGTTCAAAGTAAAATAACGCACTCAGCTTTTTTTTCCCCAGTAATTAAGACATGTCAGGTTTGCTCTGCATTCTTTGACAGTTTATTCATATTTGGCCTGCTTACATTAAATCAGCAGCGCTTTTGAGTTACTGATAGAACTCCACCAGCTTCACTGGTGTCATGTTTTCCCTCTCCCAGTAATTTTTCAAAATTTCAAAAATTACTTTTTGTCCTTTTCTAATAATAATGAACTTGTTTTCTGAATTTGAGTAGGATGAATTTTTATTCTAGTCAATCTGAAATTCAATTCATCAAAAATATGTCATGTTTTTTAGGGGAAAAAAAGTTTATTCTTACTTTCACAATATAAGCAGTCTGTATTTCAATCATATATAGTCAAACTTTTAAGTGAAGATTATTAATAGTGTGGTTTATAGTTCCTATCAGCTCTGCATACTTTCCATCTGATTATTTGAAATTTGTTCTTTAGGGACACTTTAATTTTCAGTCTGAGACAGTATAGCCTTAAATAACCAGTGTTGTCCCTCAGATCACCTTTGATCTTTAATTCATGTTACATAAACACCTTTAAGGAAACTGAAATACATTATTATGAAGTAAGCATAGGTTTTCCAGGCAGTGACTGTTTCCATAAGTGTGATGTTCTCAGAACAAAAATTGCTATTTTTTAATAAATACAGACTTTATTAATATTAGCCTGATGTTGATTTCTTGAGTGAATTTACAATGAAGACCCACAGAGAATCATAGAATGGTTTGGGTTGGAAGGGACCCTAAATATCATCTATTTCCAACCCCCAATCTTACCTCAGGATGACAAAGCCTTAAAATTATGGAGTAAGTCACGTATTTTCAGCCTAAATACATTTGTTGCAAAAAGAACGCATATTCTGTGACTTACATCCTGCCAATTCTGTTGTCTTCACTTGCCACACACTAAGAGCTTGTAGAAAAGGAAAGAGGGTTTTATTGATATATATGTCATATACCTCTTTTTCATATAGGTATAACAACACCAAAGAGTTTATTCAGAGCATTTTGTTTGAATTAAATTTCAACCATGGAGTTCTTTGGGTACCATGGTGGTGCATGTCTTAAATGCATCATAGGATATCATGAGGTGCCATAGTTCAGCCATGTAAGCCCTTTGTCTTGTGAGTTCTTTATCATGGCAGATACAGCTATTAATTAGAACATTCAAATTTAGGGAGCATTAATAATGTTTCGGTGTTTCTTTTCACATTTGTAGTTAATGTCTTTTACACATCATTATTATTTTCAGGATGCTGTCTAGCAAGGAAGAAGCATTTGTCACAAAGAACAGCACTTATGAAACTGGAGAGATGGAAGATCACAAAATCATAGTTAGTTTAGCTTCCTGGTTACTGTAAAAAGAAGATTAAATCACACAGGTACTCCAGCAAGACATTCTGCAGGGTTAACTGCATGACACGGAGTGGCTCTCTGGGGCACACCCAGCTAACACAAGCAGAACTGAACAGTCTGAACAGAAGAGGATGCTTTCCCAATGTTGTCTTTACAAAATGGAAAATAAGGATCCTCAAAGGCATAATGTGCTTGTACTTTGAAAACATACTGAGAACAGAGGAAATATATATTTGTACAGGTACATGATCAAAACAAGCACAAGATGCTTTAGCTTTTCTTCTTACCTGAAGAAGTTATGTGGTCTAAAAATCAGGGTTATTCTGTAGACAAGTCTCTTTGTTTGTTACATCCCCAGTAGCTGCATTTTTAGACATTGTTTTTGGCATTTCTTTGGCACATGACCATAGTCCTTTCTTTTCTACACAGTTGTTGTCTGAGTGAATACTATATATTTCCATAGGAATTTCAGACATCTGGCAGCTGAGTTGAAATATACTTATCTCTCTGTTTGGTGTGTCCCTTTCCTCTACCTTGCCCTGGGTCTGCATTGAGCTTCTTTGAATTGTTGGGCAATACAGCATTCTTGTCTCCTCTTTGGTTTGACATCCCCTGCACCCTGGATATTTTCTGCAGAACTTTTCATCATCCCCTCAGTGTGTTCATTCTTCCTGAGTGTGATAACTTGCACTTGCCTTCACATGAGTGTATTGTAAATTCCTCAACCCATTTTTTTGGTTGGTCAAGATTGAATACTAGTCCTGCCCTTCAATATACTTTCCTGGCTTTCTGTCATCTACAGTTTTAATAAGCATGCTCTCAAAACAGCTCAGCAGTAAAAATTACATGAATGAGTTAATCTAAGAGGTGGAAGAGATCTGAAATATGGTATTTAGTATATCCTGTCAACTCATGCTAACTCTTCTGGGAATGTTTTACAGTCATTTTTTTGCACCCATCTTGCAAATGTGCAATAGCAACAATAGCAAAATAGCTTTATCTTTTCTATGGCCCTGGTTCATCATTCCTGACTTTAGAGGCTTAACCTGGAGAGTAGTTGCCTAAGGCTAATTTCATAGTCAATAATTAAGGGAAAGACAGCAGGTCCTTCAAGTTGTTCTTTGAAGTTGCCTTTCTCTTCACTGAAAGGAAGGAACATGGCGTAACCTTTGTCCTAATTTAAGTGTACTTCAGTTAGTGTCTGTGAAGTCAATCAGATGAAGTGGCATATGTGATGGTTTCTGACTGTCAGGGTGGGCCATGGAGAAGGACGGTGTCAGCGAAGACAAGCTAAGTCACGTGTGCTGTGTTCCCATTAGCTACAGGTTTTGTCACTGCTGGAGAGGCAGATAAAGTCGGTTTGACTTGTCTGGGCAGACTGCTTGTTTGCTTTTGCTTCAGTTTCTGGTATTTTAAATTATATAGAAACCTGTTCAGAATATTTTCAATATTTGTAATAACTTCAATTTCACTAAACTGACAGTGGCTAATAGATATATACCAATTCTACACCAAAACCAGCAAGCTGGAGCAGAAAGTTGAAGAGTGATCCCAGAGCATTTCATCTTTTAATTTGCTTTCAGCCCTAAGAATCATCCTCTATGCTTAATTTAAGAGTGGAGCTTTACTGACAAGTTATAGCCTCCAGGAACAGGACTGACTGTGGAAACAGGCTAACAAAAGTCAGTTCTAAACACAGCTACAGACTGTCACAAGTTTAATATGGGTTCAAAGCCAGCTTTCTCTAACTCCATTGAAGATATTATTGGGAATAATTATTTCTAAATGCACTTCTAAAAAGCTTTAGCTAGAGTGCACACAGCTTAACTGGTCTCAGCCACCGGAGTTCTGGTTTTTCAATGATTATAGTTACCTGGACAAAAATCCTCACTCTACAGTTTAAATGACTAAGGGCGTTGGTGTCAGCATAAGCCTGTGGAAAAAGCTTCTCTTTGTGTCATTTTTATATGAATAATAACAGCTGATGTGCAGAATATTTTTAATATCAGAGTGGGAGGATATGGGAACCCCAGGTGCAGTTTCCAAGGTGCAGCTTACAAGTTTAATGGTGTTATTAGAATCTGAAAATTCACAGCTTTTTATGTTGGTAATGGAGGTGGGTTTGGACCTCTCTGAACAGATGTAACAAATTCATTGCACATTTACTAGCTGAATAATTTCTTAGCATACCACTCAGTGTACAGTACCTGGTAGCTTCCATGATAAATTGTAGAGCATCAATCTCCCATTCTATCTTCAGAAAATCTAATGATTTATTTTTATTTGGTTTGGTAGCTTTTTTAAAATGTTTTATATGCTGCCCCAGTACCTCATCAAAATTGCATATCCTTTCTAAATTTCTTTACATGAAGGTATAATTTTTAGCACAGCCTTTGCAAGGATTTTGTAAAGAAATTTTTACTTTTTTTAAAATGTCTCCATAATTAGGGATTAGACTTAAGTTTGGATTTGGAATCATGTTTAAGTTCAAAAAATTCCCAGTGTTACAGCTGATCCTTTACTGGCCTATTGATATATACTAAAGATGTCATGTAATATTAAAACTGAGACTATCAAATACTGACAGAAGTGAAATAATAAGCTAAAGTTGCTGCTTACCAACTAGGCTGAAGCAACAGTGTTTTATTAATCTCATTGTGTTGTTTTGTTAAAAATCACAGGAAAGCACTTTGCTTCTTTATAGGCCAAAAATTAGACCTTTCTTGGGGTCCTGTCTTCTTCTAGGCCAGAAGGAGTTTTCCACTGAATTAATTTTGCAGAAGGTTCTGTAGTGAAATGAGCCCACAGAAGAAGCAGCTAATGCAATTCCTGTTTAAAAAATAAATAAATAGATCATGAGCTTTAACTAGTCCTGGTTTTTATAGAACCAGTTCTGGGAATAACACTAGAAGTTCTTCAGACAAAGAGTGTTTTTATTTATGTCTGGCTGTATTAAAGATGAGCACACTCCTTTGTTGCAGAAGCTTATTTGTATGAAAATGTAGACTAGTTGCTTTTTTATATATGCTAAAACTAATGAAAAATTTCTAGCAACAAAAGGACACTTTAGCAGCAGTCTCCCTTTGGTGTATGGCAGTTGGAGTAACTTGCAGCATTTGCACTTCTGATAATTTGGATGACTATATACAAGAACCTACAGTCTCTCTCTCTTACACCTACATTCCTCTTACATTTTGGCTTTTTTACTATTCAATTTTATTTTTATTGAAGGGTTATTGTGTGCAATTATTCCCTCACAAAAGAGTTAAGTTGAAATAAATATTAAATACTATTTGAATTAACAATCTCATTCAGAGGATCACATTACTAGTAAAACTGCATACTAATTAGTATTCAAATAAAATTACTTCATTATATTCCAAGCAGTTATTTTTCTGCCTTTTCAAAAAATGCTTACATGTACTACCTCAGTTTCTCCAATAAATTTGAGCTTGCTTCAGAAATTAATCAGGATTTTCATCTTTTTGTTCCTTTTCAGCTCAGTGGTGGAAATTCTATCAAAACCTACAGCAGTAGAAGGTAATCCCATTCAGGGATAGAAGTGTGAGGATTAAACATTTGAAGCTACTGTTGTTTTTCCACCATGTAGCATCCTGACATTTCTTTTTGAAGGAAAGAATGTGTCAGAGTTAGCATTAGCATGACTTCTGCAAGTCTGGAAAAACATCTGTCATTCTGCCAGTCTTCCCATTAACTACCTGAGCAAATGCAGCAAGAAGATTTCATTACTTTCAAGAGACTAGCTCTGCTTTTCTTCTGGTTTATTTTTTGCTAAACCTTTTGTTTTTAACAATTGTGAAAAGGTAGCTGGCATCCTGTCACATTTACAACTCACTAAATTTCTATGTGCTTAATGCAATTAAGACTGGAAGGAATATTGCCAATATGTCAACAAAAATGCAACAAAGTGATGGGAGGGTTAGTTTACAGGAATTCCTGAACTCCTTTGTCTTGACCAAATGAAAGAAAATTGTTCTTGTAAAACAAGGGCATACTAAAAGGATTAGCTCTGATAAACTTTTATGTTCAGATAAAAGGCAGTCTGAGTATTAGGAGAACATTTTTTGATCAATTTCTTAAAAGCAGCTTTGCAGTTAATTAGAGACAAGTCTCGTGTTTTAAAAGCTGAATGGGGGAGGAGGTGGGGAAGCTGGGTAGTGCAGTAAAACACAGAGGCTGAGCCCCGTAATGGTGTGGAGTGCACTGGAAATGTGGTTTTAAAACATACATTTTGCTAATACACGTTGTGCTAAACTAGATCTTGTTGTGCAGGGAGGCCATGCCCCTCCATCTCACTCCTCCTGGCTGTTTGCTCCTACCACTACTGATGTTCATCTCTAGGGTAAGCCAAGAGAGTTTTAGAGAGTTAAACTGGCAAAAAATTTCTCTTAGCCCCACCTCACTTCCTCTCCCCCTAGAAAACGTGGGACCAGCCCAGGTTGGTTCAAGGTGCAGGTCTGTAAGCAGCAGTGGGAGTGCCCCTTTTGGAGTCAGCCCACATTAGACCACATCATCTGTATCATAAAAACTCACCTACATGGTGTAAATTAGCATTATGTAAGGAATTATTCAGATACTATATAATTCAAAAAGTCGTTCATTTTAGAAAATCTAATTTTAAAATTTCATAGAAATATATTAATTGGAATGTGCGAGTAACATATTGAAATATATAACAGAAAAGAGTAATATGTCACATATGGATGGAATATATTACATATGTCTAATATTTGTGTAATATATTTATGATACAAGATAGACATAGCAGAAATTGTGGTGAAAATATGGGTTAATTGGCATAAAGTGTTAGTGGTACAAAGCACATACTTAATTTTATGCGTGTTCTTACATGCTTTGCTGAGCTGGGATTATGGAGAGCACCCTCTAGTCGTGTCAGAACATCAGTTAAATCTACATAAATCAATACCATGTCAGCAGTTTTCTAGATTAAATTACATGACTAGGAATTTGTAGACTACTTTTATACAAGTATAGACCTAAGAAAATAAGCAGCTTTTATAATGTTTCATCTTACCTTGGACTCGGAATGTTTATTAGTATAATTCTTTAGTAAGAAATGTCATACTGAAAAGTATAGAAACTGAACAAATGTACTAGTCTGCAAATGGTTCAAAACCTGCAAGGCAGTGTGTTTCATAGAATACCTAAAACCAGGAAAAAACCATGACGTCTGCTTAGTTCTATGCAGGAGGTTTTACT